TATCTTGTTGTTCTTGGCGACAACCTTGTTTTCGGTCCTCAAGCGCTTAGAACACGATGTCAAGATCTAGTCTTTCAAGCCGAGTATATCATGTGGCCAACGGAGATTCAGAGGCTACTTGGCTCCGCCAGCTACTTCTGGAGCTGCATGCCCCTCTACGACGCGCCACATTGGTGTATTGTGACAACATCAGTGCCGTCTACATGACCTCCAACCCGGTTCAGCATCAGCGCACCAAGCACATTGAGATCGATCTTCACTTCGTTCGGGAGAGTCGCCGTTGGTGATTTTCGTGTTCTGCATGTTCCCACCTCTTCGCAATATGCAGATATCTTCACCAAAGGGCTGCCTACTTCAGTTTTCACGGAGTTTAGGTCCGATCTAAGCGTGCGAGAATGGTGACGATTTATCTGATCATGAGGCGTGTTAGAATAGGCGCCCTAATGGGCTGGCCTTGGGCCTGGCGCCAAGCCTGTTAGGCTGGCTGCCTTAGGGGTTAAGATAGATAGATTACATTGATAAGGCAAGGATCACCGTTGATTGGGTGTTTCTATAAACCCTATTGATCCTTACCTATATATTATACCCTGTACTGCTGCTAATCTATCAATCAATTCCTGAGACCTATTCGCTCTCAGAAAGTGCGGTAGATCTTCTAAACGCAATAAAAATGCACAAATGCCAAGTTCTATGCAATGCTTGACTAGTTGCTAAACATCCTGAGTGTGGATGGACTGAAAGAAGGAACAAGATGGGATCAAAGATTTATTAATATAAACTATTTCTTAGAACTTTGCTAACCAAGATGTTCAACAATATCTTTCGATCGAACAAGATGCCTGAGGAGTGGAGAAGAAGCGTATTGGTACCAATCTACAAGAACAAGTAAAATATCCAAAGTTGTACTAATTATCGGGGAATTAAGTTGATGAGTCACACTATGAAGTTATGGGAGAGTCATCGAGCAGCGCTTGCGAGGAACGACGCAGATATCAACAAACCAATTTGGTTTCATGCCCGGAAGGTCAACCACATAAGCAATCTTCTTAATAAGACAGGTTATGGAGCGGTTTAGATAGCAGAAGAAGGACCTCCATTTGGTTTTCATTGACTTGGAGAAGGCTTATGACAAAATACCAAGAAATGTTATGTGGTGGTCTTTGGATAAACATAAAGTCACATCAAAGTACGTGACCCTCATCAAGGACATGTACAACAATGTTGTGACTAGTGTTCGAACAAACGATGGTAATACAGATTACTTCCCGATTAAAATTGGATTTCATCAAGGGTCAGCCTTAAGCCCGTATCTCTTTGCCTTGGTAATGGATGAGGTTACCATGAACATACAAGGGGATATTCCTTAGTGTATGTTGTTCGCTGATGATGTAGTGTTAGTGGACGAAAGCCAGGTGGGAGTAAATAGGAAACTAGAGTTATGTGGCAAACCCTTGAGTCTAAAGGTTTTAGATTGAGTAGAACTAAAACCGAATACATGAGATGTGACTTTGGCGGAGTTGTACAGGAGGAGGGAGATGTGAGTTTGGAAGGTCAAGTAGTGCCTAAGAAGGATACATTTCGGTATCTGGGATCGATGCTACAGAGGGATGTAGATATTGATGCGGACGTTAGCCATAGAATCAAAGCAGGGTGGATCAAGTGACGACAAGCTTCTGGCATTCTCTATGACAAGAGGGTAGTACAAAAGCTAAAACGCAAGTTCTATAGAACGGCGATTAGACCGGCTATATTGTATGGAGCAAAATGTTGGCCTACAAAGATTCGACATTCAACAACTGAGTGTTGCAGAAATGCGTATGTTGCGATGGATTTGCGGTCACAAGAATGGACCGAGTTCGGAACGATGATATACGTGATCGCCTAAAGGTAGCATCAATTGAAGAAAAGCTTGTCCAACATCGGTTGAGGTGGTTTGGCCATGTCCAAAGGAGACCTTCAGAGGCACCAATACATTGTGGAGTCCTAAGTCAAGCTAATAATATGAGGAGAGGTAGAGGAAGACCGAAATTGACATGGGGGAGGCAATAAAAAGAGATTTGAAAGCTTGGGATATACCTAGAGATCTATGTTTGAATAGAAGTACTTGGAAAGCAGCTATTGAAGTGCCTGAACCGTGACTTGGGGCTCTTGGTGTGTTTCAACTCTAGCCTACCTCAACTTGCTTGGGACTGAAAGGCTATGTTGTTGTTGTTGTTGTTGTATTTCTTAGAACTTTGTCATTACTCATTAACAACTATTTCTTTCTTTCATTCAGGTGCAGCAAAAGCCCATACCCCTCCAGTTCGTCACACACCTCAGGCTACGCCACAAGTGATGAGGCCTCCAGTGTTGGACCCCTCAGCATCATCAATTGCCCTGTCATCAGCTTGTCGACCACCAGTGCCGAGGCCTAGGGTCCAAGCACCACAGGTGGACCAACCATCATCGTCATTGTCGCAGTTGTCCCGTCCGTCATTGCTGTCTTTGCAAGTGGTCCAACCTCCCAACTTGGAACAAGGCAATCTTTTCAGAGCAACGTCAGCGACTCTTAGTCACATGCCACCTCCACGTGGGAGCTATGGAGTTCAGAGTGAATTGGCTCCTCGCTCACCTGCTCCTCATCTCCAGTTCAGGTCGCCACGGGCACATTCCATGCCATCTGGAAATCAGCAGCAACTGCCAGCAACTAGGGTGGAGGCAATGTCCTCAAGGACACAACCAGTGCTGGCAGCAAGCTCATGCCAATCAGATATACATGCAGGACATCTGGCAGCCTCAGCCATGTCAAGTTTACACTCTGTCCTCCCTTCAACCTCATTGCCCTCAAGCTTGCATCCTAGTCACCTGGCACAACGTGTGCCACCAACTCCAAACCCAACTTTACAAGCGGCGGCACCATCAGGCTCGAATACAAAAATGCCTTCCATCCCTACAGGCATGCAGCTGCCAGATTCTGGGTCACTATCGCTTGGGTTGAGTGATGATGCGTCTACAGCTCCTGTTAAGAATACAGCCAGTCTTGGGTTGAGCAGTGATGCGCCTAAGGCAGCTCCTGCTACAAATACGGCCAGTCTTGGGTTGAGCAGTGATGTGCCTAGGGGGACGGCTCCTGCTACAAATACAGCCAGTCTTAGGTTAAGCAGTGATTCACCTAGGGCGATGGTTCCTGCTACAAGTACAGCCAGTCTTAGATTGAGCAGTGATTCGCCTGGGGCGACGGCTCCTGCTACAAATTGTCCCGAGATAGATGTGGTATGCTTGTCTGATGATGAATGAGACTAGCAGGTGTGCAAGGCTGACAGTTAGAGATGACTGCTTGAAACCTCTGAGTAGGGTGACCGAAGGCATTATTTTATGGGTCCCTTGACCCGTCGTTCTGGCAAGGTAGGAATGTTGTTTGTGCTGTGAATGGCTGGTAACAGCAATGCCAGTTTTATTTAGATTCACTGTAAATTGGTATCATGACAAATGTCAGCCAACGGTTGTTGTAAATCGCTAACCTACGGGGAACATATGTGGAGATTAACCTCTGAGATAGACTTGGCCACTTGGGTTTCAAGCGCTATGAGATTGCTGTACATGTTTGTCATTGATTAGGGATGCATATCCATAACTCGCTGAGGTGTTGGTTGCATGCTGGAATGTTTGTTTGTGCATAATGAAGAGAGTCGAGAATCGTAAAAAAATCGTTCTAGTAGCATATGCAACAGAGAAATTTAGGCCAAGGCGGTCACTTCAACTTTATATTGCATTTTTTTTTTAATGAAGTACTCACAATTCTTCTATGTTTATATCTATACTCTAGCTAGCTATCTGTGTATCTATATCTATACATGTTCTATATTTGTACCTTCATGTCCCGTATGTCATTCGGATTTATGACTAGTGCTCAAACGAGTTAAAATGATTCGCGTCCAACGATGGTATGAAATCTAGGATGTGTTTGGCTGGTGTCCGCACCTCACGGCACCACAACAGCGGCGTTGCCAGGCGTTCAATTCGGTCGCTGGACTTTTGGCAGGTTTAGGCACAAAAAAATGAACTACAGACAGTTGGTTACACCGCAGCACGCCGAATAGCGGAGACGAACCAAACGCGTGCCAAAACTGCGGCGTGGTGCGAACGCCAACAAAACGCGCCCCTAATTCCAAGACGAATTTGGTCCCGTTGTAATTCGTGTGCATGTTTGTTAGTCTATACCGCTAATATTAACAATCGAAGTGAATGTCCCGTATGTCCTTTTTTATTTTTCAAAATATCTTTATGTCCTATGTGTCCTGTATGTAATGCGGACTCACGGTTTCGTGTCCTCTGTTTGTGATCTGGAATCACGGTTTGTGTCCGCATGGTTTAGATCAACTCGCTCCTAGTGATGGTACGAAAGATTTTAAGATGTAATGGGTTTCGTTGCAACTTGTAAATATACTAATATATAATATTAAAAGTAGAATGGATTCTTCGGTCTATTTTTTTTACTTCTCACAATATCATCACGTCCTTCATGTCTCATATATGATTTGGACCCACTGCATTAATGCTCATATGGATTAGAACAATTTGCATCAAGAAATAGTATAGAGTCCAATTCTAAGACGCGTCAAACGACGATGTCCAATTCTAAGATGCGTCAAACGATGACATTTAGTTTGATCTCAAGACGTTGAATAAATCATGATCGTTGAATAAATCTCTGAGCCGTAAATTGTCCAAGTTGACCATGCAAGTGAGTAGTGACAATTAATGTGGTAGCACATACGATACGGGCTGTATACAAGTTCATGCAACACGTAATAACAGGAAAAAGGAAGGACGGACGACGGATCCATGCACGACGGAATCGTCGGGATCCAGCTAGGTAGCCACCCGATGACTCGCGCCACCTGCTTAACCGCCATGCCCATCCCATCACCATCACCATCACTTGCTCCCTCCACCACCGGTACGGTCCACCGCCGCCTTCCTCGTCTCATCTCGTCCTCGTAGACTCGTCCGCGCCGAGCATGGCCCTGCCACTCTACGGCTGCAGGCCCTGCGCTGTGCATGACGCCATCGTCTTCTGCCTCTGCTGCGTCGCCAGGCTGTGCCTTCACTGCGACGCCGCCGTGCACAGGGCCACCGACGCGCCCGCCGTGCTGCGCTGCGGCGGCACCGTGACGCTCTGCGCCGTGTGCGCCGGCCGCGGCGCTCCCGGCTTCACCCGCACCGGCGTCGCCACGTACACCGGCTGCCCCGGCCCCGCCGAGATGGCGCACCTCATCTCCGTGGACCCGCCGCAGCCGCAGCAGGACTTGGAGGCCTGGCTCGCCGACAAGCTGCCGCGTCTCCTGGAGGACGACGAGCAGGATCATCAGCTCCCGCCAGATTGGGATGTCGCCATGGAAACCGCCAGGCTCGAGAAGATGCTGGCAGACAGCTGCTACACAGCCTGAGGTAGTGTACGTACGTTATTGTATTATATATGTCAACTGATCGAACGCATTGTGAATTGATGAGGCACTGACGGACTTGATAGATAAATAGAACCTAGGTGTTGATGTAGTGGTAAATTTTTGGCTTAGCTAGAAGACTTCGGTGATGTATCTTACCGGACCGATGTCGTGGCCATGGTGCCATAGCGATGCTCGGAGTAGAGGAAGCAGCGACGTGGAGGCACGGTCAGTGGCGGCGACGACTGCGATGGCGCTTTCCGTCGCTCACAGCACACCCTCGGGATCGGTCTAGGGTTAGGTCGTCGGTGGGGCGCTGGCGGCTACGGTCAACCTCATGTTTCGAGCCCCAACCCCACCTCCTATTTATAGTGTTGTGTGACGGAGGCCCATCAGCCAGGAGTACGGCTGAACGCCCTCGATCAGGGCGCGGATCAAACGCCCAATTAGTCGTTGGGCTAACTTTATGGAGATCAACCTAACATTCTGCCCTTTGATATCACCTTATGACTTAAACTCAATTTACTTTATCTTTTTTCCATTCCATCACGGATTAGTGCATAGAGCGTGCCTCATCGTCACGGTTACTTACCATTAGATTTAACAACTACAATGCACCTCTCTGTTTTAAAACAGATTCTCAACTAGGCCTTTAGTATCCAGAAATCATAGGCTTTTCCGTAAACCCATGTCGATTGTGTGTTCTCTGAACGCACTGGATGGTTAGCCTTTGGTAAGCGGATCCGCAAGTACTTGCTTGGTACTCATATGCTCAATGCTTTCAAAATGATTCTAGATTTTCTCCTTTACAACATATAACTTAATGTCAATGTGTTTGGCAGCACACTTGACGTGTTGCCTTAGGAGTTAACTACTTTAAATGGTTATTGCTGTTGACTACCATTGTTAAATCCGGATACATATTCCCTTAACCACTTTTACCTATTCCTGAGGCCTCATGGCAAGCTATACTATGGTATGCATCATTGATGACACCACATGTGTTTCATTGGAGTTTTTCCACGATAATACTCCAACTGCGAGTGTTAGCAACTACCGTGGATTTCACTACACATCTCGCTAAAACTTAACATTTGTACCCACAACTATTTGAGAGTACTTGTTCTTTCTTACTCAGCATGAGGCCTATGATACTTTGCAAAAAATTGCAAGACATTCTTAACTCCATTCCAGTGATCTATATCTGGACTGGACTTCTGCCAAAATATCCTGGATACGTAAGCTACGTCAGGGTAAGTTCTTACTTGTACATTCATTAAGCTTCCAACAGCTAAAGTATATGAAACCATGTTCATTTGATCGATCTCATATCAGTTCCTGAAACACTGATAGTTCCCAAATCTATTACCCTTGACCATAGGAGCAGGCGTAGGTTTACTCGCATGCATACTTTATTTCTTTAGAATCTTTTCTAAGTATTCCTTTACGATAGTCCTAATAACCCATTTTCTTCTATCTCGGTGAATTTCAATTCCTATAACCAATGACGCTTCACCAAGATCATTCATATTGAAACTTGAGGACAAGAACTTCTTCTTCAATGGCAGATTAACATCACTACTAGTGAGTAGGATGTCATCTATACACAGGATGTGGAAAAAAATCATTCTTGAACTTTGCATAAACACTATTGTCCTTCTCTTTTTCTTTAAAACCCAAACTTTCTTTTTGTTTCATCAACTTCAAATACTACTGTCTATAGACTTGTTTTAACCCATAAATGAATTTCTACAGACGACATCCCATACGTTCTTTTGCTTCCACGATAAATTTTTTGGGTTGTGCCATGTAAACGTTTTTATACAAATCTCCGTTGAGGAATGCCTGTCTTTACATCCATCTAATGTAACTCTAAATCGTAATGTGCCAATAACACTATTATAATTCTAAAGAATCCTTGCATGAGACTAGAGAGAAAACTCTCATCGTAATCTATTTATTCTCTTTGTGTAAAGCCTTTTGTTACAATTCATGTTTTATATCTTTGCACATTCCCTTTGGAGTCATATTTTGTCTTATAGACCCATTCACAGCCTACTGTTTTGGCTCTATTAGGAATTTCTTCTAAGTCCCAAACATTGTTGGTATTCATTGAATTCATTTCAACTTGCATAGCTTCTTGCCATTTAGACGAGTAAACGCTTCTCATGGATTCTTTAAATGAGGTGGGATCACCCTCCATTTAAATTTCTTTACTAACATAGACTTCATAATCATCAGAAAACTAGTTTACTAATTCTTTGAGACCTTCTTGGGCCTCAGCTACTAGCACTTTCATGTGGAGCTGCTGTTGCTCTTCATTGCCAAGAGGAAATTAATTCTACAGGCTCCTATATTACAAGATCCTTGTTTATATTATTCATCTTCTTCGAAGAGCCAACAACAGGTGTTGTATAAGTCATACAACATCAACAGGTATTGAGAAATTCGTTGTTTTGAATCACTGAAGTGGGCACTCAGTCCCGCTTCTCTTCAAGTCATAGGTCTCTACATACCGTGCTCTTCCAGATCATCACATCTTTTATAAAGATAGTGTATCTTCAAATTTCTTATTTGGGTTTAAATTATTAAAACCTTATATGGCGTTTTAAGCACCGCCTTAATATTTTTGATGGTGACTATGCTATCTTCCTCTCAGAACTTTAAAAAATTCAGGAATTTAGCTGTTTCTCTGCTTACACGGGTATCATTGTTGTGACCGACGGTCACATTCATCAAAAACTTTATCTCACTCTTAGTTAAGAGTACACATTCATCAACATCTTTATCTCACTCTTAATGAAAAGTACACATTCATCAACATCTTTATCTCACTCTTAATGAAGAGTAGTTTCTTAATTGATCTTAATTCTTGCTCTTAATTCATCTCACAATTCTCCCCCTCAAAATATGGCATGAACTTTACTGTCATAATTTCGAGAACTATTTAGAAAAACTGTGAACGAGGAGACACTTATGACTTACTTCATTCACATGATTATGCCATGCAAATAAAGTTATTTCTTGATCCGTATAGGAGTACATTGTCCCCTATTCCACTTTAAGAACTCAACGAGGTCTTTTATGAGCGGTGCTTTTGCAAGTCACACTTGCATCTTTTCTTATCTTTTTGTTAGTATTGACCATGATGGTACATTTCTATTGTGCCATGGTTAATACTAGGACAGCAGAGTCCGGTCGAGTACAGAGAGGTTCTAGAGCGGCGAAAATGCCACTGGATGCGTCTGATGGCATGTGACCGGACACTGGCAGCGTCCGATCAGTGGATCGCGGCTCCAATGGTCGGGACAACCAGACGCGTCCGGTCAGGACGTGATCAGCGTCCGGTCAGTAGCAGAAAAGCGAGATTTCATCCGCCAACGGCTACTTTCTCAGTGGGGCTTATAAATATAACCCCCAACTGGCCAAATGAGATGAGTGGAGACGAGGAAATATATCAATGGTGTTGATACACCATTTTAGTGATCTCCACTTGCATAGTGCTTAGTGATTCATTAGGTGATTAGCGTAGGTGCTTTGCGAAGTGCTTAGGTTGATTAGACCACCGCTTATGCGCTTGCTCTAGGTTTAGGCCTAGTGTTTAGTGAGGTTTGCATACCTTTTACCACTCGGTGCTTGCGCGCACTATTGTTGTACATCGGAGGGGCTTGTAGTCTTGCGAGATCATACCAACCGTGTTTATGGTGTGGCCGCCACCTTGTATCGGAGGGAACAAGGCCCGCGGCGTTTTGGCCAGAAGCTTGATAGTGAAGACGGCGGGGAGCATCTGGGAGAGGCTTGCTGGAAGGCACGTTGGAGACCCACTTGCGCGTGGGGAAGGCCCGAGGCTATCCACGGAGTTACCCGACCGAGAGCTTGGCCCTTGCGAGGGATACCTTGCGAGGGGCTCTAACGAGGACTAGGGGAAAGCTTGCGTGCTTCTCGATACCTCGGTAAAAATACTCGGAGTCGTCGGCGGGAGTTTGCATATCTCTACCTTGCTCTTTAAGGTTCCGCATTTATATTGATTGTATTACTCCTTTTGCGGTAGAGATAGCAACACACTAGTAAAACCGTAGTTACACATTTAGATAGTTTATCTTTTGTATAGGTTTAGCTAGGGTTAGAAAAAGAGGTCATAGTTTAGAAGTAGATTTTTAAGTTGCCAAATTCACCCTCCTCTTAGGCGTTACGGTTCACTTCAATTGGTATCAGAGCCGGTTGGCTCAATTTGGACCTTTGGCTTAACCGCCGTTGAACCAATGCTATTTAGAGTGGTTGGGATGGATACCTCTAGGCCTCCACACTTTGACGGCACTAATTTCCCCATTATAAAGCTAGAATGGCTTGCTATCTTGAGATGGTTGATTTGGGAGTTTGGAGAGTCACTCGTGACGGGATGAAACCCATTAAGAATTCCGATAAACCCACAAAGAGTGAAAAAAGGAAATTTATTTCAATGCTAGAGCTAAGAATTGCTTGTTTGAATCATTTAGCATGGATGTGTTTAACCAAGTGTTCACTTTAAATACGACACATGAAATTTGGTTAAAACTTCAAGAGCTCCATAACGGCACAAGTAATGTCCGTGAGAAAAACATTGTCTAGCTAAACAAAATTATGATTCCTTTACAATGAATGATGATGAGCTCGTTCATGATATGTATTCTTGTTTGAATCTAATTATCAATGAGCTCCATTCAATAGGATTAACAAAGCTAGATGATGCGGACATCGTGAAGAAGATCATCTCCGTGCTACCACAAAAGAAATATGCAAGCATCATCACCATCCTTCACAACATGGAGAACTTGAGCACCATGACCTCGGGCATAGTCATTGGCAAGATAGTGGCATTTGAAATGTCACGTAAGATGGGTCAAAAGAAGCCTCTTCATCAAGCAAAGGCAAAGCTCTCGCATGTAGCAAGAAAAAGAAGATGAAGGGCAAGCAAGTTGATACAAGCTCAAGCTCAAGCTCCTCAAGTGAAGATAAACAAGAAG